TTGTAGGTTGTCCCTAATGAATTTGAAGTTATAGAAATATGTCCTATCTATAAATGCTAGAGGTACCGATAAACAGTGTCAGACTGATGTAGCGGTGAGGATTTTACTCGAATGATGGTGTCGCATGCATCTACAAAAAAATGGAAGCTAAACTTATATTACAATAAAAAATAAATATTGCACTTGGCTAAATTAATTCAAAAAAATAAATAGTTGTGTCTATGTTGATTAGAACACTGGCGGCTCGTGGCCAAAATTTTGGGGGTTCACAGTGACAGAATATAGGTATCAGTACTACAGATGTATGAAAATTTTTTTTATTGTTTTAGAAAGTTTATAATATACTTTTCTAAAATACTGACAGTTCTATAAGGGAACAAAGCTTATTGATTTTGAAAAAAATTTGATTAAAAATAGGGGGTTAAGAATGATTGAAATTAAAACCAAAATCCTAAATTAAAAACGAAAAACAGAAAGCGATATCAACATGAAATTTTTAGCAAACATCAAGCTCTAGAAGAAGGAGCCCTTTGATTTTGAAAAAAAAATCTGATTTAAAATGTTTCTTCTTTTTTTCTTTCGAATATTATCGGATCGGAAGAGATTTTAAGGTTATGTTTTCAAATAATTTTTAGAAGCGAAGCGTGTGTAGTGCATAAAAAACGATAATTGTGATCATATTGTGCAATATTGTGGTTGTTCGTTCAGGTAGGTGCAGTATTAAGTATAATTATAAACAAATATTGCATGCGAGCCAAACGGCAAAAAATTTCGGACTAAAACGTTCCGTTAGAACGTAAGTGAAAGTGTGGTTTGTAGTTCAACTAAAAATGAACTTTTTTTACATGCCAAATTCGGAGGCACTGTCAGTGAATTGCAACAGTTCCTCTGAAATTGAAAATAATGAAACATTGGAAATAGTGTTAACACCAGATATCCAATCATGTTCTTACACATTTAATAACAGCTCCTTGAACAGTATAATCACAAACACATCTACTCAAATATCCAATAATTTATCCCCAGAACATACCATGTACGATGCCGAAGCTAATGTTTTGCCCAGATCTCTTGCCCAATGGGCTAGACATGGGTAACGCACTAAAATTCTTTGCGTTGATACACTAACTCCGGCGCACTCTATTGCGCCAACTCATTGCGTTAACGCAATTGCGTTATTGCGTCACACCACTGCCTGCGCCGAATGAAGTCGATGCACCTCGGTGTGTTATTCAGCGGTTCAGCGCGGACTGTCCTTTTATAAGGGTCAAACCTTGTTCAAGGCAATAACGCAATTGGGAATTTAACTAAATTTTTTTTATTATTTGTTTAAAAATAAACGAAAATATAACAGTGTAATGCACTCATTTTTTTATTTCATTGTGTTCGGATTCGAAAAAATACAAAAATTCCAATTTATATAAAAAGGATATAAATTTTGTATACTAGTAGCCAATCAAATTGGGAAGAACTAAAAATTGACAGTGTACAAGATTAAAATTCATAAAATTCGACCTACAATCCTACAAATGATGTGAAATGTTGCAAAAAACATAATTACTTGATAGATTTTGGGTAATCTGCATTACGAGTTGCATCAATTACGTAAATTAAAATTCTCAACTCGTCACGGAAAACGGAATCAGTGCCTGGCGCATGGCGCACCAACAACTCGCGATCCTTTCGACTCAGTATCGAAAATTGCGTTGCGCTGATACAGTAACAACTTGTGTATCAACGCAGCGCTGCGTTACACATGTCTACAATGGGCAATTAATTATAATATTACTTGTCAAACGATTCAACCCTCTCATGACAAATACTGTTTATGTACTAAACTAAAATGCACAGGAAAAAATATTTTTGCATCAACGATTTATTGCTATTTGTTCTCTTGTAAATTGTATATTACATCCTTAAATAATGAATGTTTGTTTTTGCAGAAGCAGATAAGAGAGCAAAAATATCAACGTCAAAAAAAGAGTGGGAGAAGTCAATTGCTGCATGGCTCAAGAGGGCGAAAGAGCAGCAAGATAGAACACACAAAAAATTCTCTTCCCATTCAAAAACATGATTTTTTTAAATATTTGAAATAAATAAAAATTTAAATGAACATCTTTTTTATTCATAAAATATTAATCTATGTACCCTTTAAGTATCCTTTTAATAGCATATGGATCTAGTGCAGTGTATATCCCGAGGATAAAGTATACGGATATCCCGGTAATAAAAGTATTGGGATATACCGAGGACGTCCCGTTTTTTAACATTGTATATCCTCAGGATGTACTAGGGATATCGCATAGCCGAAACCGTATATCCCGAGGATATAGACTAATGTCCCATCGGATATCCTCGGGATATCCCTGGTACAGACTTGTGCTACCTGGGTATTGGTGCATCACTCTTGTTACAAAAATATTATTGGGGGACCAACTTCACTGAACTCACTTAGAAATTTCTCAACATAAACCAACAACCATCACTTAAGTATCCTCAAAACAATTCATATTTTAAATAGAAATACAATTTTTATAAAATTAACTAAATTTTTTGTCTAAGTCCAAATAAACTTTTTTATTCCTGGGAGTAAATTTGTATCTTAGTGTATTTCCTCTTATTTCTCAGAAAAAAACGTGCTACATCAATATAATCGCTTAGGTATTTATTGGTATAAATGAAGCAAAATACATGAACATATCAAATAAATTTAATAATTTTAAATTTGATAGGATAAATCTCACGTGACGCGGATCTCACCCAGGGGAATAAGAGGGTTAAAATTAAAAATAACATTACTACAAACTACAATTTTAGAAGAATTAATTATAGTTGATGAATATTTGAAATTTTAACTATAGTATAACAATTATTATTCTCACGTTTCGCAAATGAGTCACCCTTAAATTGTTATAGCATAGTCTGTCAAGATCTTCATTAATATGATTAGTGGCCTGTAATGAATTATTACGAATATAATTTTTTAGATGACAGCCTAGGTGTTTATTATTTTGTGAATTTTATTTAGGTATATCCAATTATTTTAAGTGTGACATCCATTCTTAAAGCTGCCTAATTTCACATGCATCATTCCTTTTGTTCTACTTAACAAAACTGATCAAAAATTCTCTCTCCTCTTCAACAAAAAAAAGCGCGCTTCGAATAATCCTGCTAAATGGGTTGTTTCCCAGGCCCATTAGCGATGGGCGCAGAATTGATGAAAGACCAGTCCTGGACGGGTCGACGTGTGTGGTCCTCGGCGCGAGAGCAAGTTGCCTACTCACGAGTGCCGGCCTAACAATCTCTTTTCTCTATAAAACAAACCGCCGCATGTTTTCTTTCTCTTTCTCTCTCTCTTGAGTATTTAATTACGACGTTGCCAAATGTAATCGGCGGTAAGGAAAGTAGCAAAAAAAATTACATAATTGGGTGGGATTTTGTTTGCCATAGTAATAACATGAGGACGAGGGATGAACCACTCCCGAAATACAGGTTCGTTTCCACTTAAAATTACCGAAATCACTACAAATGCCCCGAAAATCATGGTCGAAATCATCGAAATTTGTCGCTCAGAAATATAAACGCAGCAGCTTGTAGATCAAAAGAGAAGGAAAGAGTAAAAGAAAAAAGGTCGATCAAAAATCAAGTGAAGAACGAGGTGAAGAGCTCTCAAGAAAAGGTCGTTTGAATATTTATGAAATTTATGCAATGATTTCGCCGAAATCGCATACAACTAAGGAAGATTTCGGCGAAATCACCATAATCATATAATATCAATCACTATCAATCACGAAACTAAACATACATGATATTTTTTTATATGGCTAATATGTAGCTTTTTGTAGTAAATTTTTCGTGAAAAAATAAATTTGTCGCTTTGTCGCTCATCCCCTCTTTGATATAAACTTCACTTAGGGCTTGTATAAGTCAAACATCTATAAGTTTGGCCATTAATGAAGTAAGTAGTTTAATAACTCTTCACTTAGCACGAAACTGGATTAAATATCCTACAAATCTGGAAGAAAAAAATGCTGTTCAAGAAGGATTTTATAGCAAATGGGGTATACGAGGAACCATCGGTGCCATCGATGGCACTTATGTTGAAATTATAGCTCCTCCTGGTACAGATCAAGAAAACAACCTTTTACATATCAACAGAAAAGGAAGACACCCTATTAATGTAATGTTAATTAGTGATTCAAATTGCTACATTAGTGCACTAAATGCAAGATTTCCTGGTTCTGTTCATGATGCTATCTGGCAAACATCAAATGTTAGACAAATTTTAGGGGAACAGTTTGAAGAAGGACAAAGGAACCATTTTTTAATCGGAGACAGTGATTACGGTGTTGAACCATGGTTGTTAACTCCTTTTAAAAATGCAGATGATGATACTCCAGAGGGCCAATATAATCGGACTTTGAAAAGTTCTCGGAATGTAGTGGAGCGCACAAATGGTATATTGAAAGCAAAATTTAGATGCCTGTCCAAATTTAGTGTACTGCAATATCATCCTACAACGGCTGCATTCATTATATATTCTTGTGGGATATTACATATGTCGAGGAAAGAAAATATGGATATTGAAAATGAAGAATATTTAGAAGATTATGAACAAGGAAATAATTTCGATAATATAGCAGCTCATCAAGGGCAAGCAGCAGGAGCAGTTTATGTTGTACAAAATAATCAAAATGTTTAAAATTAAAAAAATATGAGAAAAATGTTTTATTTTAAAAATCTTTCCTTTTATAATTTATTTATTACAACTATTTTTATTTAAATTCAAATTGAAAATCCTTATTTTTATATTTAAATGCAGTTCTTTTATGGCATCCACCAATTTTTCTTGGGGAACAATATTTTCTTTGAGTTGCTCTAATAAAGCTTCCGTTAGATTATTTAAAATTCTTGGACGCTTTCGAATAATTTCTCTACGTTTTTGTAGAGGTCTCTTGATTCCTGATGTCTCAGGTACAACTGGTTGTTGGACATTGTTTTTAATAGAATTGCGCATTGTCTTCTAACATACTTTCTATATTTTCAATGTTGAAGTCTTTCAATATATTTTCATAAAATGAGTGTGCATTTGTTGGAGTGTTTTGAATTATGTCACCATACAATTCTGGCACAAGAGAACTACCTCCAACAACAACTTTTCCCCAAGCATTAATTGCTTTTTCCTCAAGACTAGTCAATGGATTTTTCACTTTTGGTCCTCCTCCCGTTTTATTTTTATTTACAGGATATTTTCGATATTTGAATCTATAGTGCTATGTTTTCAATCAGAGAATCTTTAAAATAATTAAAACGAAATAAAAATGTAAGAACAAAATAAAATTTACTTGAATCCATTTATCTGTAGTTAATTGTGGACCCTTTGAATTATAATTTAATTTAATGGTCAATTCTTCCCACTTTTGTTTGATATAATTTTCAGGTACAGTTGGATTAATGGTTCCAGTTCTAAATAGTTCGTCATTTTCTAAAAACTTTATGTATTCTTCATACTGCTCCACAGCAGTATTTGCTCCCCGTTGTTTTTTCGCTTTGAAAATGGCACTGTAATCAAGATATATATTTAAATTAATAAAAATATTGTGATATAAAAGTTATTATTAAACAAATGATTTATAGTACATACCCAGACATGTTTTTTGAGAAAAAACAAACCCTTTAGAATAATATTACCACGCCACGACACAAGACGACATAAAATAACACATATAACCTTAAAAAGTGGAAAAATGAAATAAAAAAGAAGAATTTGACCAAAACTGTACTAGATTTCTTTAAAAAATTAGCCTCTATACAGGTCCTGTTAAACTTTAAATCTTGATTTTAAATACGTTTGACCACAATCGTAATTATTTCTTAAATAATTTAAAACTCCTATTTTAATTTCCATTTAGTGCTTAAATCTTTAATATTTACATGTCTGACCATGATCGCTATGTCAAAGTTTAGTGTGGAAGTACTTTAATTTCTTGAGATTTCTGTTTAAATTTCTTGTTTCTTGTTAAGTTTATCAACAATAAAAGCTGCGACGTATTCTTATGTTGCTGATTCTCTAAATTTATGAAGAAAAATGTCGAAAACTCATTAGAGCATACCAAGAAAGATTAACTTATCGTCTCAGGTGTCGAATCATGTTTGCAAAAATCGAGAGGTATCTTCGAGACCAAGGAAGATTTAAACTATTAACTATGACTTATTAATAACCTCGCATAATTTGGGAGATCTAGATACCTTAGCTTAGAAGAACAACCTGAGAAAAATAATCGTGAGATGGGAGTTCCAAAAGATATATAAAAATTGCCGGTAGATGATTTAGGGATAAAATTGAAGACGTGGCAACGCAGGCCGCAGGACAGCGGATCACGGTGAATCCTGCTGAGAAAAAGTCGGGCAAAAAGAGCCGGAGCGGCATCTCATTACCGCAAGCTTAAATAAGATGCTGTGTTGCCAATCTAGGGAATTTTTTCGTACTTTTAGGGATTATTTTAGTTTTAAGCACATAAATTCCACATAGTAACTATTCAAAGAATGTTCTATAATTGAATTATTTTCAACATAAATAAGCTATATAGAATCGTATTTTTGTTTATTTCAAATCTAGTAGTTTATTAATGATCGTCAGTCTAGTTTGGCAACACTGATAAGTGGGTCGCGGCAGCTAGAATGGCACATTATCAAAAATTTGTTGTTTCTCGCTATTTATAAACTGAATCCGACCATTGTTTGCTGCCGGCTGGGAAAGAATTATATTACGGCTTTCCTAATGGGTAATGGGTGTAATGGTAATGGCCTGCCTAAACTTGATATATGGTGTTATTTTTACCGTTTCGGAACGTGTTTAAATGATTAGTTAGGTATTTGTATACTTTTGCTTTTCATTTTCTATAATACCCCATAATAATAATCATGAATATATATAGACCGTCTAGTATTATATTTAATAATCTGGTTCAATCAAATTTAAAGCATATATTTTTTTAAAAATTAAGGCATTTATATTGAAAATTAAATATAATAGAGACAATGGACCAAAATTTGCAATTTTCGTAAAAAAATCGGACATTCTTATCAATTGTAATGTGATTCTAGTTATTCTATCTACTTGTTTAATATGTTTCAGCTCAATTGATAGGGCGTGGATTAGATTATTAAATAACTCGAATAACTTTGAAAAAGAAGTTGAGCAACACTATATTTAAAGCTTACTATACTTGACTCTAGATTAGTGATAAAAATATAGAAAATCACTAACTACTAACTAATAATATTTAAACCATGCTTTAGATAAGGTAGATATCAAATTCTAATTCACATAGTATTACTAAATTTAAATTTAAGATGATTTATTCAATAGCACTTATCTTTTGGTAAATGAAGGCAATATAAGGAATATAGAACTGAGTTATCACATGGTATATCCTCAGGCAACTTCCTTAAAGGGATTCGGGATCCTTATTCGTAATTCTGCAACGTGAATTATCTCGTGATATTTGGTATTATGGCTTAAACTCGAAACTGTCTAGATCTTCTAGAGATGAATCAAACAACGGTCTTCAGATTGTACCAAAACCAAAACAAACTTCTAGGTATAAAAAACAACCGTCTAGATATAGCCATGCTTAAAAAAAGGTTAAAATATTAAGATAGGAAAATAGGAAATTTGAACAGGATCTAGATAAAATGCTTTAGCTATTAAATGAACAATCCAAAACTATCAAATGAACAACTTCACAGAGACTAAAATTAATATGAAAAGGAAAAATCCTATTTAACACATTCAAACATAGTAAAGCATAATATCTTATTCCAAAAAAAATGATATATAAATTAACCCTGTGTTATCCAGTGTTGATATTGAGGTTATGTTCAAAATTTGACAATTGAGGAGCTTTGGGGCAAAACCGAATAAATCCACAATAAACGATTTTTGGGAAAACACGATTTTCCAAATAGACAAAAAGTACTGGTTTTTCGTTTGTTTTGTGAAAACAATAATATTGGAGGCATCATAAATAATACACCCTCTGCAATTATAATTTTGAAAAATAATTTTTGTTAAAAATATGACAAAAAAAATGATTTATTCAGTTTTACCCAAATCAACATTCAAAACTACCCGCACTAATATAAGAGGAAAAACAAATGAAAATAAAGAAATATCTCTTACAAACTGCTTTTAAACTACAGCGAATGCTGATGTGTTGTTTACACCTGTTGTTTACACCACTTTACTAGTGGATTTATTCGGTTTTGCACAAACACATCAATTTCGACAATTAATTTTACAAATATTTGTTCGGTTTTGCTCGGACAGGTAGTCTATAAAGATGTAATTTAACAAAGTAAGTTGAAATCTGTCGCTAACTTAATTTTCATAAAAAGTGGATTTATTCGGTTTTGCTCCAATGCTCCTCAATTTATTTAAGAATTCCTTGTACAAAATATATATTTTCAACAAAATATCATTATTAAAACTTACCTTAGAAAATCAGACGGATTTCACGATAGATAAAAATTATTTAGTACATCGGTAGACCAAGATATATTAAAAATCAAATCAAGTTGATTCGTTGTCATCCAAGCCAAAAATGATTCTCACAAGACGAATAAAGAAGAAGAAGAAGAAGAAGAAGAAGAAGAAGAAGAAGAAGAAGAAGAAGAAGAAGAAGAAGAAGAAGAAGAAGAAGAAGAAGAAGAAGAAGAAAAAGAAGAAAAAGAAGAAGAAGAAGAAGAAGAAGAAGAAGAAGATGAAGAAGGAAGAAGAAGAAGAAGAAGAAAAGAAGAAGAAGAAGAAGAAGAAGAAGAAGAAGAAGAAGAAGAAGAAGAAGAAGAAGAAGAAGAAGAAGAAGAAGAAGAAGAAGAAGAAGAAGAAGAAGAAGAAGAAGAAGAGACGACGACAAATGACATTTCAGTAAGACTCTCACCGAAGGCGAGAATTCTTGTTTTCGGAACCCAATGTTCCGAAACAAAGTCATGTGTAAAGTTTTGAGCATCGATTTGTGAACTACTAAAGGTAAATCTCTTTAACTTATGTTTAAAGTGTTTTGTTTGACATAATTAATTGATTTACATAAACGTCAATTTTACATTTATCTTATACATATTTTGTCCACGACCACTTAATAATAAATCAATATTCTACCTCCTAACTAAGAGTATATAGTACCCATATATCACGGAGTGAATTATGATAATTTAATTCACGCTTTTGTAATTCTGGCAATTCCGATAGATAACTAAAGATAGGCGATACTTTTCATAACGATATTTTCTAGATCGAAAAATCGAAATATCAAAAAATCAAAAAATCAAAAAATCAAAAAATCAAAAAATCAAAAAATCAAAAAATCAAAAAAATCAAAAAATCAAAAAATCAAAAAAATCAAAAAATCAAAAAATCAAAAATCAAAAAATCAAAAAATCAAAAAATCAAAAAATCAAAAAATCAAAAAATCAAAAAATCAAAAAATCAAAAAATCAAAAAATCAAAAAATCAAAAAATCAAAAAATCAAAAAATCAAAAAATCAAAAAATCAAAAAATCAAAAAATCAAAAAATCAAAAAATCAAAAAATCAAAAAATCAAAAAATCAAAAAATCAAAAAATCAAAAAATCAAAAAATCAAAAAATCAAAAAATCAAAAAATCAAAAAATAAAAAAATCAAAAAATCAAAAAATCAAAAAATCAAAAAATAAAAAAATCAAAAAATCAAAAAATCAAAAAATCAAAAAATCAAAAAATCAAAAAATCAAAAAATCAAAAAATCAAAAAATCAAAAAATCAAAAAATCAAAAAATCAAAAAATCAAAAAATCAAAAAATCAAAAAATCAAAAAATCAAAAAATCAAAAAATCAAAAAATCAAAAAATCAAAAAATCAAAAAATCAAAAAATCAAAAAATCAAAAAATCAAAAAATCAAAAAATCAAAAAATCAAAAAATCAAAAAATCAAAAAATCAAAAAATCAAAAAATCAAAAAATCAAAAAATCAAAAAATCAAAAAATCAAAAAATCAAAAAATCAAAAAATCAAAAAATCAAAAAATCAAAAAATCAAAAAATCAAAAAATCAAAAAATCAAAAAATCAAAAAATCAAAAAATCAAAAAATCAAAAAATCAAAAAATCAAAAAATCAAAAAATCAAAAAATCAAAAAATCAAAAAATCAAAAAATCAAAAAATCAAAAAATCAAAAAATCAAAAAATCAAAAAATCAAAAAATCAAAAAATCAAAAAATCAAAAAATCAAAAAATCAAAAAATCAAAAAATCAAAAAATCAAAAAATCAAAAAATCAAAAAATCAAAAAATCAAAAAATCAAAAAATCAAAAAATCAAAAAATCAAAAAATCGAAAAATCAAAAAATCGAAAAATCAAAAAATCTAAAAATCGAAAAAAAATTTGAAAAATCGAAAAAAAAATCGAAAAATCGAAAAATCGAAAAATCGAAATATCGAAAAAAAAATCGAAAAATCGAAAAATCGAAAAAAATCGAAAAAATCGGAAATAAATCGAAAAATAAAAAAAAACCGAAAAATCGAAAAAAAAAATCGAAAAATAAAAAAAAAAAAACGAAAAATGGAAAAATCGAAAAATCGAAAAAAATCGAAAAAAATCGAAAAATCGAAAAAAAA